AACAAATTAAATTAATTTTTTATGATCCAATAGTATTACTCTTATCGAAGCTATTGAAAAATAGCTTGTGGACAACTAACTTCTTGTCTCAACCAATAAGAATGTGACATATGTAAATATATATTATTTTACTATACATTATTATCATAATCAATTATTATAAATAAATCGATTGATGAACATTTATGACCACAAATCATTTTTTTTTACTGGGTGTCTAGACTCGCATCGACTATTATCTCAAGTTCAAATACTAATCATTATAACCCAAACGAGTTTAAAATATGCTCCTAATAAACAAGGGTGACTAACCCTTAAAGAGTATGAGAGGCGTTGAACCTGAAACTTTTGACTGATCAGAGGTTAGACTTTATCACTAAATCATCTATAATGATTATCGCAAATCATTTGTTAATATAGTATGGAAAGATATAATCTCATCCTAGACTAAGAAGCCAGCACAAGTTACTAAAAGTAGTGTTGATTTTCCAGTGTCTACATTACAATGTTCAGTCGATAGAAGAAAAAACAGCAGCCAGCTTTGAATAGCAGCCTAAACGGGTACATTTATGTTACGAGTAATGTTAGATGAACTTAAAAATTAGACTTAAAAATTAGATTTGATAATTTCGACTATTGAATAAATAGTTGATGGGTCCTAATTAAGACCATGAACCTAAAAAATTGACATAAACTCAATAAGGAATAATGTTATTGAGACCTAAATAAATAATTTAATTTGCTAACTTAAATGTCGTAGTGATGATATCCTATAGTTTTATTGTGGCAATAATTCTTGGACTTCGTCATTAGAACTCTATCACTCGACACATTATTATGCCAACAAATTAAATTAATTTTTTATGATCCAATAGTATTACTCTTATCGAAGCTATTGAAAAATAGCTTGTGGACAACTAACTTCTTGTCTGAACCAATAAGAATGTGACATATGTAAATATATTTTATTTTACTATACATTATTATCATAATCAATTATTATAAATAAATCGATTGATGAACATTTATGACCACAAATCATTTTTTTTTTACTGGGTGTCCAGACTCGCATTAACTATTATCTCAAGTTCAAATACTAATCATTATAACTCAAACGAGTTTAGAATATGCTCCTAATAAACAAGGGTGACTAACCCTTAAAGAGTATGAGAGACGTTGAACCTGAAACTTTTGACTGATCAGAGGTTAGACTATCAATAAATCATCTATAATGATTATCACAAATCATTTGTTAATATAGTAAGGAAAGATATAATCTCATCCTAGACTAAGAAGCCAGCACAAGTTACTAAAAGTAGTGTTGATTTTCCAGTGTCTACATTACAATGTTCGGTCGATAGAAGAAAAAACAGCAGCCAGCTTTGAATAGCAGCCTAAACGGGTACATTTATGTTACGAGTAATGCTAGGTAACCTTAAAAATTAGACTTGATAATCTCGATTATTGAATAGATAGTGGGTCCTAATAAATGTTGGGACCTAGAGTGAAATTAATAGTTGAGATTATCAAGTTTAATTTTTAAGTCTATTTTTTAAGTGCATGTAACATTGCTCTTATGTTATATAGTAACCTACCAACTTAGCAGCCCCACAGCCCTAGTTAATATGTTAGAATATAAGTATAAACACAACCTAAGCAGACTCACAACACTCATCTTTACTTTTTAGACCATTTCTCTACCTTAAATTCTTCATATGTAAGTTAAGAATCAATAACCTTTTCCTATAAAAAACAATGCTTCCAACAAACCATTAAATGAAAAAATTGGAGGAAAAAAAACATTGCCTCTATAACTATTTAATATGTCTTGAACGTTGTTGTAATATCTAATTTTTCAAAAGACCATCGAGTAAGGTACCAGCCCAACTTGTCACCCTGAAATTGGATGTTTGAGTCTTAGAGCCCACATTGAGATTTAGTAGTTGACCACTATATTAATCTAGTTAGATTCGCTCCTTTATCTCCACCCATCTAATTTTTCGTAGGGGTGCAACTTTGGAAGGACTAATCCGAATTCAACTCAAGCACAACCCAAAAAAAATAGGACTTAAGTTAAAACTTTTAATATTTTGGTTGAATTTGGGAAAAAAAAATTTCCTCTCGAATTGAATTCGAATAAGCCTCATGTTGAACTTGAATATACATAAATATATAAATATATTTAAGTAGTTAGTATTTATCTTCACTCTAAAGAGTCTAAATTTTCACTTTACTTCAAGTCTTATCACTGCACCTCCATCATTCTCAAATCTCTATCTCACTCGTCACTCGTTTCTTAACTGGTTTTAAACTTTCAGTCTCTTTTTCTCACTCGTCACTCTTCTCTTTTTTATCAATCCAAATTAAGTAATCCGACCTCAATCCGATTTTTAACTGAAAATTAATTAAAATTAAGTAACCCGAATTCAACTCAAACTCGCCCGCATTAAACTCAAGTAATACTCGAGTTGAGGTCGAGTTAAAATTAGGGTTAAAATTAAAAGTTATATACTTATGATTAGATTAGGGTTGATCTCTCCACCCGCATATTCTACGTGAGTTGCCCCCTTAATTTTTGAAATCATATATATATATATATATATATATATATATATATATGCAGACACCGATAAAAGAAATAAAAAGTCACGCTTTATATACAAACAGGCCAGCATACCCTAGGATTGGACATCGCTGAAACGAATGCATGGTTTTCAAACTCGACTTTTGTGAGAGCCCGGCATCGACGACCAACACATTATTGCTTTTCTTAAAATTAAGAAAAGTCATGACATGAGGCCATAGGCAGCTGAACACTGTGGTCGACTAATTGTTTGACAACACATATGGATTTAAGCAGATGTTTTTTTGGTATGGCTTATTATAGGGGTTGATCCTAATCAAAGCTTGATAATAATTAATTATTTCATATTTTACTAAGTAATTAAGGTACTCCTCGTATAAATCCAAGTATGGAAAGACTTTGAAGTCATGGTTGAGCATGGATTTTTTGTTACCTTCATCTGATTTGTCCCAATTTTATTTTGTTTATTTCGACGGTCTACAGGGTATCTGGGTCAACTTATGCATACTTCGATTAATCTCTTCCTTAGTCCAATTAAATGCAGACCATCTACGCCGGGACTAGAATATTATGTATGAGAGATAAACCTCTCATGGTCAAACCCTAATGGGTTGTCAAAATTTAAACTTATAATATTTAAATTTACAACTTGTTCATGTTATCACTTGAGTTACCCTTAGGGTTAGTAGCGAAGCTATGATATAGTTTAAGGGGGCCATGACTCCCTCCTCTCAGCTTTTTGAAATTATACATTTTACCCGTAAAATTATGTTTGATCACATTTTATATATCAAACAAATTCTTAAAATTAAAATTTATATATTAAATTATAATCTTGATTTTATTTTATCATCTTAAAAAAAGATTTGACCACATTAAACCATTAACTATTAAAATTGTGGCAATTTGCATAAATCGTTAGATTTTGTTACTGTAAAAAATTGTAAATATTAGACTATTTTGAATTATTAATTATGCAATTGATTTGATTTTTACATTTAATAATTCAACTAGTTTCGATTAACTTTATTCATTTTATTAAAAATAATAATTATATTATATCTATGAGATTGATTCTTATATATTCTATGCATATAATGTCACAACATTAACGATCTAATTGAATGGTCCACGTTAAATAAAAATACCTTGTTATACCATTATTTGCCTCCCCCTTCAAGGAAAAATCTCGGCTCTGCCCCGGCTTAGGGTTATATGATTTGTCCAATTAACAAACATAAAATTTTGTAATTCATATAAACTGCTCCAAATATAATTTTATAAAGATTTGGAACACTTTTTCTGACATGTACAACAAATTATAAATAAGAAATCTCCCACAGGCCAAGCATTGTTTATGTAACCAAACTATATATAATGTTGGTATTAGAAACATGGGCCAAGGCTACGGGGTCGCTCTTGACTTTCCGAGCACAGAGACGATTAATTGTGGCATCAACGAATAGTACCAAGCAATATGCATGAAATACAATTTGAACATGATAGAAATTTTTATCGTATCACAATATCGATCCTTTCTCTTTCTTTCACTATTCCCACCAAAGTCTCCGGCTTTGGTTACTTGGCCGGGATAGAACAAGCGCTTAGTAATCAGCGGCAACAGCCTTTATATTAGGTTGGAGATATGAAACTTATTTTCTTATTAGTGAAAAAAAAAAGAACTTTTTCAGTTTGTTGACTAGGGTTGACAGCTAAATTCAATCTTCAAAACCTTATCACATAAGAAAGTTGTGGAGTGCATAAGTCCTTTTACACATAGGGGCTACTTTCTTATGATAGTAATTGCGAATGAGCAAGTAGGGAGCGGCAACTAAAGAGGTAGCGAGAAACGTTATAAGCTGAATTGATGATGAAGACTCTGGTTGCCTTGGAGATATATATATATATATATATATATATATTTTCCTTGGAGATATCTCAGATGATTTGACTAAGTCATATTAAATGATATAAAGCCAATTCGATGGCAATCGCTTGGGATGGAGTGATCATCCAAAACACAAGGAAGTTTCCCAGAAAACATGCAATTAAGCAGCACAGGGATGAATCCTTACATGCTCTCTCTCTCTCTCTCTCACACACACACACACACACAAATGGATATATATTTATTTATCAATGTATGTGGTATTGTCATGTGGGGACCTTCTCTCTCTCTCTCTCTCTCTCTCACACACACACACACACACAAATGGATATATATTTATATATCAATGTACGTGGTATTGTCATGTGGGGACCTTTTCTTTAGTTTTGAATTGGCCATGCAACTTTCGTGACCACTGACCAGTCTGATAGCAAACAAACTTTGCTGAGTACAGCCCTTTATCACATTCGTGAATCTCTTGATACAAGACTGAAATAGTACTAAATGAACACACCACCACAAAAGTTATTTTTAACATTAAATCAGTTAATAGATAAAATTCCAAATTGACTATCGATCGTTACAGCTCCATCAAGCACATAACTTCAATCTCATGAACATTGAGCATGTCCATGATCAAGAATATAATAAGGAAACTCAGAACCCAATTCCATAAAAAAACCCATCATCTTCACCACCTCCATTACCAGACCATGAAGCATAAGTACTCATGTTTTCTAGAGAAAGTGAAGGCGAAACGCTTAAAAGTTCTTGAGATGATGAAACTCTACTGCTCAAGTTACTATGTACTGGTCCTCTGCCATTTTCTCCAAATTCCATGAGCCTGGGAAGAGGGAATTGAATTGGGTCCGGACCTGGAAATTCGGGGACAAAGTTTTGTTGATAATTCATGTCAGTCGGATCATAATAAATAGTATTGGCTTCAGTTACAAATGCTGATGAGGTTGTTGTGGTGAAATGCATAGAAGGGTCAGTAGAAATATGGCAATTGGTGGTGGTGGTGGTGGTGGCTCTGGTGGAGCTGAGGCTTGTCTTTCCAGCAAATAGCTTCTTCTTCAGCTTAGTGTTCCAATAGTTTTTCACATCATTGTCTGTTCTTCCTGGCATATGTGAAGCTATGACAGACCACCTAAACCAGTAAGATTATGAGTTTTAGTGAAAATTCATATAAAATTTGCATATATTCAAGACAAGATCAAAGGGTCAATTAAACTGGCCTGCTTCCTATGGTACTATATAGTGTTAATATAATGTTGTCTTCTTCCTCAGTAAAACCTCCATGTCTGATATCTGGTCGAAGATAATTCAGCCATCTCAGACGGCAACTCTTGCCGCAGCGCCTCAGGCCTATAAAAAAGGAAACAAATCAAAGGTGGAAAATAAAAAATTCTCATGATTTTGACATATTTGGTGTTGTTTTAATGCTTCAGAATCATAATTCCAAATTTTTGTCTCTTCTTAGACGTGTTCATTTCCGAACATATTTTGATTAAGGAACGTGAAATTACAATTTACAGCTCTATATTGTATAACTTGCATGAGAGATAGAGAGAGAGAGACCTGCTTTGTGTGGCAAAGCAATCCAATTGCCACCAGTGCCATACCTCTGAACATAGCTCTTCAGAGTGGTGTCTTCTTCAGGAGACCATGGGCCTCTCTTAACTTTGGCTTTGTCACAACATGGAGCTCTTCCCATGGCTGCCACAAAAATGGCGAAACAAAGCAGAAAAAGAAAAAGAAGTTCTTACTAACCTCTATATGCCAAAGAGAAACAAAATCTGTGGGCTTTATGCTGTGGTTTTACAAGAAGGCAAGACTGAGACGGAGCTCTGAATATTGACTTTGTCCAACACTTTAGTTTAAAGTTGCTTGAACTTTTCAATGTTTTTCCTTCTCTTCTGCTAAATAAGAGGAAAAAAAAGAAGAACCTAGTCAATGTGGGTTCATGAAGTAGCTCTCAGGGGGCCACAAGATTTGTTTTAATCAAGTTGATGTATTCACACAATGTGGAGGAAGGCTGCTGTATCTTTATGTATCTACATTTTTTTTTTTTCCTTAGAGCGAGTGTTGTTGGAGCCAACTTGCGTGCAACCCCTTATGACCTGTTTTTAAGAGGTTGTCAAAATTCGAAAACAAAATGTTTGAATTTACGACTCGTCTTTATTATCACTTGCGTTACATTGTGGTTGAAATCTATTATTTTTTAATGTTAAGTTATAAATTTTTAAGATTGAAATTACAACTTTTAAATGTTTAATTAGCTACTTCTCTTAAAAGTGATATTACAATTGATTAGGAGGTATTTATGATCAATCAGAATAATTTATAATCGATTGTGAATTAATTCAAGCAATTATAACTTTATTTTTAAAAATATAAATTAACTTTAAAAAATAATAACTTTTGATATAATAACGAAATTATCTATTTTTTGGATACCATAGAATAGAATTACTCCATTATGTGAGTCCACCTTGCCATGTGGATAGGTCAGCCCACCATCATATGGCCCAGTTAAAAGATCACATAACCAACATAAAGATTTTATAAGGTATTACTTTTTTTGACAAAATTATAATAGATGTCCTCAAAGTATAGCATTTATTTTATTTTACTCCTCAATTATTTAATTTTAGAGAAATGCTATATGAATATAATTTGAGAATTTTATTTACAGACCTAATGATATACGATCATTGGATTGGTTGTGGACTCCTTTTAGCTTTGGAACTCACAACAAATCTAATAGTTGTATTGAAACTACATCATTAGGTCCCTAAATTAAGTTCCAAAATAGAGTAATGTTAGATGAACTTAAAAAATAGACTTAATAATCTCAACCATTGAATATGTAGTGAGTCCCAATAAATACTAGAACCCACAGTGAAATCAATAGTTGTAATTATCGAGTCTAATTTTTAAGTTTACTTTTTAAATTTATGTAGCATTATTCTCAAAAATAAGGTCCCTGTAGCATTGCTCGTTTAATTATATTATTTTGATTCTTGAAGTATTAAATATGTTTTTATGTAATTCCTCAAGTAGACAACATTTATTTATTTTTTTTATCATAAACTTGTCACGTGAAACTTAAATATGGACAAAAAATAATTTGGGTAACTCTTGACTAAAATTTGTGTAGCACTTGACCAAAAAATGTGTAATATCAATAACTCTTGATCAAATTTTGGATAGTTCATGATCAAAACTATGTAATTTGGATAAAAATTTGATAAAATGTTATTCAAATTATTTTTTTTGTTCATATTTAGGTATTACTTAATAAGTTTATAACCAAAAATTGTTAGTAATGTAGACGTTGTTTGTTTTAGGGACCACATAAAAATATATTCAATACTTCATAGACTAAAATGATGTAATTAAAATATTATGAACCAAAATGAGACAAATTACATACTTTGAGAACCTCAAATACAATTAACCCTAAATTATTGGAATTGATTGCAAGTTTTTTGTATTGAACCCTAACTCTTTTAGAATTGAACTTGAAAATTGGAACTCGTTGCGACATAACACTACCAAATATGAGCTGCAATGGTTTAATTTTCTTTAAATACAATACCAAAGTATGTGTGTGTGTGGAGCAAATATTCGGTGTAACGGGGACACCAAATCACAAATGTTATGTAATACCACTATTTAATAATAAACTAATAAGTGAATAAGATAAACTTGGTGATAGTGTTGATTTGACATTTTCATTACATTAAATAGTTTCTCCGCGCACACACACACACACACAAAAAAGATACATTTTTTTTAAGTCATATTAAATTTAAGTTATTTTATGCGTGCCTCGATAAATTATTTTCGCTATCCAGTCAAAATCAGGCCACACAAAACATACATATACACGCACACAAGCACAAGCACAAGCACACTCTTTGGTTATCCGACACGAGAGGGAGTGGAAGAGTGGTTTCGTGGTTCTTCCTTCGGTTTCTCATTAAAGACAAGCCCAAAACGATTATCCCTGGGCCCAAAATTGTTTTTGAATTTCTCCAACAGATTACTTTCAGCCCAATAGAATCAGGGTCAGGTCAATAAAAATTTAGGTCCTAAAAAAAATTATTTTTCCAACTTTTTTATGATGCAAAATTAATAATTAAGTTTCTATATTCAAATTTTTTTAATATATATTTTTTAGTTGATAATCTGATTAACCACCGTAATTTCTTTAAAATATTGTTAAAAATAAAATGAAATAATAATAGTTGATAAATAGAGAAAACTTTGAGTCTTTGTTTGTATTTCAAATTATCTATTAAACATTCGCCAACAAGAAGAATAATGAAATTGGATTAAATTAAATAAAAGAAGTTTAATGCATTTGCAATCTAACTTAGGGGATAAGATGATCTATATGTTTAAATTTGTTTATGGAGGGACAGAGAGATAACAGACCATCTCTATGGTGTTTTTCTTAATAAAGCAGGTAATGCAATATTTTTTATTTTATAGTTGTGTGGAGTTTAAGTTGTGGGATTTTGGAGAGAGAGAGAGAGACGTAGGGTTTTTTTGGCGGCGNTTTATTTTATAGTTGTGTGGAGTTTAAGTTGTGGGATTTTGGAGAGAGAGAGAGAGTCGTAGGGTTTTTTTGGTGGTGTCATCGTGTAAGTGTATTCTATTTTTATATTATGTGAAATTATTTGTTGTCATTAATTAAAAGAAAGAAGTGTTGTCAATAATGGAGAGAAATTAGGTCATTTTCTTTCCAATATAGACCTTGTTATGATTATGCCTTATTAATCTCAAATTTTATTGGGCCAAATAAAATTACTTGAAAAGACTACAAATAAAAATGGACCCCTATGAGCCATCCCTGAATAGAATTTCCATGGACTTGGCCTGGACCTAAGTGAAAGTAACTTGAACTAATCTTAGGATAAATCGGGTATCATTTGATAATATTTCTAAATATTATCAATTGTAGCCTTTTTTTTCTTCTTCATATTTTCATATTTATTTCTTATTTACACTTTCTTATTTCCTCCCGTATTATAATCTTATGTATATAGACACATCTAAATATAAATTATTTGTCATCAAATAGCAATCAAACATGTTTTTATTTTTTCACGAGTGTGTCTTTTCCCTTAAAATAATTAATAAAATTTAAGTGTTTCCAAATAACACACATTAAATTTCAAATAATTACTCTCAATTAGGAAGTGAGGGGATCAATTCTTGTCAAAGCTATGTATTGATCTCTGATATCATTTTCGTCGAGGGTTGTATTTAAGTATTTTTTTTTTTGTCTCTTCTGGTGGGGATTGTATGTTTCTATTCTTTTGAGCTTATTTCTCCCTTCATTGTAGTAGTAATATCTTGCACTTTGTAATAGTGATTTATCGTTGTATATTTAAAAACAAAATTCAAAGAACATGGAGGAGATTAAAATGAGAAAGTGAATTTGATTAATTTGAAACATCTTTTATCATTTGAAATGAACTAATAACGACAAGCGTCAAGATTCCACTCCACGTTTTTCATAAATTTATTCAATATTCGAATACCCACCATATATTGGTGTAATACTCACTTAAATATATTAAGGAATATTGCAATAAAGTACACAATAAGTGATCCAAATTCTAATGAAAACTCCCCATGGTATTAATTTGTCCTTCACACATGAAACATAGTTCATTTTGATTGAAATACCCAATCATTCATGGGAGCAAACACCGGATATCCATGTATATGCTCACTGGCGGAGGCACATTGGCATGAGGGACAAGTTTATATGATCTTCAACATGTTTCGGACAAGTTTTGAACACGTTTAAAGATAGTTTATGGAAGTTTATGATTTTTTTTTTCTAAAAACATATATATATATATATATATATATATTTGGTAATCCAGCTGTAATATTTATCTGTGTTTATATGCTAACTTTTTTTTTATTATATTAAAATTTTCTCATAGTTGACATTGCTTTACATATTATAGTTTTTCTTAGTCTTGAATGTCTAATTTAAGGGTCAAATTTTAAACAATTAGTCGACAATTGTTCTTTATTTTTTTACAATTGGTCTTTACATAAATTCTTGACTTTGTCTCTATACAAGCACCACAGCCTCCATTCCCACTCTTGCATAATAGTCTAGTAGGCATTTAATACCACATTATTTATTGACTCGGTAATATCTGCATGACATCTACTACTACATCATTGAATGGTGCATCATCTAAACGTACAAGGTTGTATTTGAAATGCATTTATAATTTATTTTTTTTAATATTACGGTCAAAGGGTATCCAAGTCTTACTAAAAATCTTTCTCAAAAAGTTGTCCGCACGAAAAGAAATTATTCATCAAGTTGGTGACAATTGACAATTCAAAAATCCTAGAGAACCTGAAACAAATAGCTAGCTTAAGGCAATTACTCGCACCAGAATGCGTTGATTTTATCTTTTTGATGAAGGTGGCAGCAGACCTAACTTTTGAATTTTGGGTTCGTTTGAATTGTGTTCTAAGGACCAATTAATACATGCTGCTAATACTTTATCGTGAGAATAACTTGTAAAAAATAGTTTCACAAANACATATATATATATATATATATATATTTGGTAATCCAGCTGTAATATTTATCTGTGTTTATATGCTAACTTTTTTTTTATTATATTAAAATTTTCTCATAGTTGACATTGCTTTACATATTATAGTTTTTCTTAGTCTTGAATGTCTAATTTAAGGGTCAAATTTTAAACAATTAGTCGACAATTGTTCTTTATTTTTTTACAATTGGTCTTTACATAAATTCTTGACTTTGTCTCTATACAAGCACCACAGCCTCCATTNCTTGCACTTTGTAATAGTGATTT